CCCGCCTAGAAGATGAGTCCCTGAGATAAGGCGGGATTGCAAAACTGCCCAGAGCCCCCAGGCTTTCTCGTGACAGAGAATCTATTTCCCCGGAGATCCTGTCACCAGCTGCCTTTCGAGAACCTGAGCGGCGACTGCCACTTTTGAGTGACAGTCGAGAGGGAAAAGGGAATAGGGAAGCAAGGGATTGGGACGGGCATCTACAACTTTTTAAAGTACCTTCCAATGTATACATAAGAGTTCAGTGGGAGAAAACAGAACGTCACCTAGGGCTGGACTAAGTGTAGGGTTGTCTAAGGGTAGATCCTGGGGTCTCCAACTTTGTGCGTCTCTAGGGGTTCCTGACTCACTTAGATTTAGAAGCGCACACACGTTCACCTGAGCCAGCGTTGCCTTTTACCAGGTGCGCAAGGGCGCAGGCGAAGTGTTCTCACACTGCCGCTACGGTATTCGCACTACCCTTCAGATTTCCCTTCTGTCCTAGCTCTCCAACTTTGCGCGACCAGCAGGAGATAGACTGGCGCCGACTGAAACACACACACACACACACACACACACACACACACACACACACACACCCCACATCACACGCACGCCCTCTAACACTCACAAAAACACACGCACAAGCACACCTGAGAAATTCACATTCTCCTCCTCGGTTTCCCCTCACCTCCACCACCGCCGCCTCCCCACCATCAAGTCTCGGATTCAATCTCCTGCTGTGCCCGGATCAGAAAGGATGACCCCACTGCTCCCCAAGTCTCACGTCCTTCCCAATAAGGGAGATGAGACGTCAAAGCTGCAGCTCCCCAGCACTTCCCTCCCTGACGGATGGGGTCTCTTCCCGCCTTTTAGGGGAGCAGGAGGAGGTCTGGGAAGGTAGGAAGTCAGTAAGGTGTAGGAAAGCAGAACAGGCTTCCCAGACAGGCTTGACCTCTACGGGTTCCACTGCAGAGAAGCAACCTGCAGTTTGGGACAGCTCCTTCCCTGGAGCTTGCGATCCTTCTTGGGAAAGCGGCTGTCAGCAGACACCTCCTCCTGGGAGAGCAAGGAAGGAGGATCCCAGCATGGACTGGGGGCTGTGGGCTGCGCTGATGGAAGGGCTCGAGATTCACTATAGGAAAGCTCTCCTCGTCGGGTCTGCGCCCAACCAGGCACTGGCATCAGTTGGACTCAACTCACCTGTTCCGAAGTGTCCTTTTTTTCTTCTCTTCTCTTCGTGACCTAGGGAGTTTTGTAAGTCTTCCTGAGTCGCTGCGACTGCCCCAGGGGCTGGTTCCGCGCCCCCTAACCCCCCTGGGGCGGCACACGGGGTTAGCTTGGGAGCTGCGACTGTGTCAGCGCTGCTGGTTTGGCCCCCGAGTCCATGGAGGGCGCGCCGAGTGCCTCAGCATCTCGGCGTCTCCCATTTAAATGTCCGCCGGCTGAACGCCGCGCTCCGGGGCCTCGCCACATCATTGGCCAGGCGCCGCCCGGCCCGGACCCGCTATTCCGCCCCCTTTTCCCGTTACTGAGTCCCCCTCCTTCCTCCCCTCCCCAAGCACCCCCCTCCCCGGCTCCCAGCGGGGACCCCTACCAGACTGAACCCGCCTCCTTTTTTCCTCCCTCCCCAAAGCCCCCTCCCTCTGCCGGGGCCAGCGGGGAGAGGTCACCCCAGGGGATCGCGCCTGGAATGCACAGCAAATCACATTTTCCGCTCCCGTTAGAAGGGGAAGATCGGTAGGAAATCCCCCAGCCTTCCCACCCCCCTCATTTTCTCCTCCCCCGCCCCCTGAGCTTTGCCTTCTCTCCTTCAGAGATTGCTTTCATTGCCTTGTGGCTCCCTACATCCCTGTCGGTCGCTATGTCCTGATAGAGATCACGACAGAAGATGCGATTTATTTTCGTCCCAACGTAAGATCGATCAGAGAAACCGGGACCCTGAGGACTCGGGGATCCCAGGGGTTTGATTCTAGGCGCCCAGATTTGAAAAGGACCTCAACGACCCACTTAGTCACCAAGAACTCAACCACCAAGAACCTAGCACTTAATCCGCCTATCAACATTTCTTTTTCCATCCCCTCACTCTCCTTTTCAGGGTTTCTTTTAAATGCAGACTAGCTTTTAAAATGCAGACTAGGCTACAGATGTTTTGCGGTATCCTTCAGAAGTAAGGAGGGAAAGTGGAGGGAAAAACCTGAAGGGACAAAATTCAGTCGACCTTACAGAGGGAAATATTTACTAATAGAGAATCAGGTAACTGTAGCAACCAGAGATAATTAAATCTCGAAAATCTAACTCGGGAAAAGTTAGATGCAGAAATGTAACACTAAAAAAAGGCTGTCAGTCTTTGGATGTATATGTGCACCTATATTATTATTATTCATCCAGTTAATATATGAGACATTTCTAGGCACATGAATATTGTGCGCGTGTTTTTAAATAGGAGTAAGGACTTTTCACATTTGCCTTCCTTGGCCTTCCCACTCCCATATCGTACAGAAGAAAAAAAAATTACATCTATTTAGTCGGCTTGGGGAAAAAAAAAAAAAAAAAAAAAAAAAAAAAA